GCTTCAGGTGAGAAGGTAAAAAAAGAGAAGTGAAGCTAAAGAGATAACAATACTCAGGTTCAGACTTAAAAATACAGGAAAGCTCTCAGTGCCTTAAGCTATAGCTGAACTCAGCCCAAAGAAGACCAGTGAGAAGATCACTCTCAGCACTTTCCTGGGTTGTTGTTTTATGATGTTGCTTTGAAGATGCCACAAAGTCAACCCAAACCTCCATCACCCAACAGCGAAAATTTCTCCTGAAGGATGCAATTCTGCAGGATCCTTGGTGCTTCAGGGAAGATACTGAGACCTGTCCAATTTCAGTTCTTCTAGCAATAATGGAGGGGTCTGATTCCCTCAGCGAAGCAGATGCAGGTGTAAAAATGTGACTTACCTGATCGGCTTATCTCGGATTTGATGAGTTTGACTACACACACCACGTCTACATTATCACAGGGCACTGTGATAATGCTTTGCACCGTAAAATGGTCTCTCTCACTCCAGGTTATTTTGGTCTTGGCCTCCACATTTACTGTGTCTCCTCCATACTTCCTCCAAATGACTTCAGGCTTTGGGTACCATCGTTTTGACTTACACGTGTAGCGACACATACCCTCCTCTTGCAGATCCCTCTCCAAAGTTGGCTTATACCCGATTGCTGTAACAGAGTTAGTCAATGAGTTTGAAACAGAGTTACTGTAAAACAACTGAAACAACAACAAAAGAAACCAACAAAACTCAGAAAGCCTCAGTACATTGCTCTAAAACTTCATAGCTCATAAAAACAACCACACCTGGTCACATCAAAGGGGCCATTTACCTGGACTATAAGGATGCTGAGCACTAGGGCATCTTACTACAGAGATATAGTAGACCCCAGAGAGACTGGTTGAGCAAAGGTCAGCAAGAGCATCTGGGAGTTTGCAAAAGAGATGAGCACTCTCCATGTGACTGAGGGCTGATATGATACAGATCCATGAAAAAGGGACAGAGTGGAGAGGAAGAAGAGCAAAGAATGGTTCCCTGTCTTGTCCAACACCAAAACAGGAGGCATAAAGTCAGCCTAGCACATGATATCTTCAAAAGAAATTAAATGAAAAGGGCCTTCACAGATAGTATTGATCTGCGGAAGAGACTGATGCCAGATTTATGAATGCTAGAGGTTTCCATGCACTCAGACCAAGCTTCAGAGTGTGACTTGTTCAACAGGAGGTCAGATCTGATAAGGTGCTTTTTTGAAGTGCTTCCAGGTTTGCATTTTGGACAGGTCTTCTGAGACAGGGGATTTCTAATGAGGAGGGAAAAGGGGTCTTTACCATATCATTACGTGCACCGTACATGGGTGAATATCCTCCCTAATAGCCATTAAACTGTGTTTATCTCAACCCACAAGTTTTCATACTTCTACCCTTCTGATCCTCTCCCTCATCCCAAAGGGAAA